TTAAAATCTCTGGGACTAAAATAGTTTAAGTACCCGGAGGACCGTGCTTTGCTCGGTTTTTTTTTTTTTTTGGTAAATCGTGTGTTTTGGAAATTACATTTAGATACAAATTACTGAGTAATGAAATATGCATAATATTTTTCGATCTTACCGACGTAATAATAAGAAAATATGAACTGATGTTTTTCACAAAAGAAAGAACTTTAAAAAAAAAGGGAAAAAAATAGCAAAATAACAAATCGACAAAAGATTAAAAATAAAGAAAGCAATGATCTGGAATCGAAAAAAAAGTAAATAAATAAATGTGTAAATGATCGTGACGCGAACCACGGCCGTCTGTTTTGGGGCCGCCCGATTACCGACCGAGCTATTATGAAATTTTCTCCTGCGACGAAATTTACCGTCATATTCGAATTATATTTTTCATTCCCTGAAAACAGGGATAAAAGGACATTTTCTAAAAATGAAACCTAGCTAGATCGATTTTTCGCCCCCGAATCTACGCAGATACTAAATTTCATGAAAATCGCTGGAGCCGTTTCCGAGTTATATATATATATATATATATATATATATATACACAATAATTGCTCGTTTAAAGGATAAGATATTGCTGTTGGTTTTCCCTCTTTATGTTGCCGAGAATCCAGACCAGTGGCTTGGACAAGATACGTTAATCTGTAATCTGTAATCACTCGGTGTATGGCGCTGAGGAGGATATGACCAAAATACTTGGTACTTCATATTTTTAATATCACTCAGTCACTCAGTTTATTTATCGAAGTACTTTAAAAAATTAAATTGTGTAATGATTTTGGGTAGTGTTCTATTACTAAAAACATTAATGTAAAAGCAGGTTGCGCATAAACAAGAACTTCTATTAGATATCGATGTCAAGTCAGTGTGCCGTATTCTATGAAGAACAACTCGACACGATCCAATCTAGAATTTATTCTTGCTCAAAACATAACATAGTAGAGTGCGTGATCTTTTCAAAATATTCCTTTAAAAGCTTTCGCCCCGTCCTGGAAGCATTCGCCGACATCGGTCTTCATCGTACAGAGGCTTAATCGGAGAATCGAGTAAGTTATGGCCGTCTTCCTAACCGTCCATAGACAAATATGCACATTCTTCTAGGTTATTCGTAACGTCCATGAAGATTTAGGATTTTGCAAAGCATGACTCAGCAGAAAGTGACTGTCCCTTGGTTCAGTTGCAGGTTTTCCTAAAGCAACGGGCCTTCTCTTGCCAGAAACGGTCTCTCGACAGCGCTGCCGGGTCCTATAATCGATTCACATTTAGACTGAGCCATGAAGGATTGGCTTTCATCAGATTGTTACATATCGGTCTCGAAAGTAATAGGTAAACTATTACTTTCGAGACCGATATGTAACAATAATAAAGCTCAAAATATCAAGGAAATAAGATGATTCAATAAAAATTGTCTAAAACTCATTTAGGGTCAGTATTTACTTTGGAAATTCACGCCACGTCATAATGTAATAAAAAGTTCTTCATCTAAGGCAGTTGGTGGTCCATATGATATCGGCAATGACAATAATGGAAATGAAACAAATGGTTTCAAATATCTAAGAATATTGGGTTAGGTTCTAATAAAAAGTTGTTTTCTTATATAAATATAAGCCATTAGCCACAGGTAAAATAAAGTAATTGATTTCGAACGTATTTTTTTAACTCCATGGCAGTTTTTTAACCGGCCGACGAGTTGAAATGTTTAATTTTTTTCGCTATTGTTGTTTTTCAGGCAGATGTGATAGTCGAAACCGTTTTTATTGAAAATGACTTTTGTTAAAATTTATTCATTTAAAAATGATTATTTCACTAAAGTTGTTTGTTTATAGATTACGTAGGATTGCTTTGACTGTACTTTTTAATATTTTTTTTTATGTAAGAAGGTGGCAGGCGTTAATACGGTGTAACCGCCGCCCATTGACCTTTGCAACACCAGTAGGGCTGTAGATGCGTTGCCACCTTTTAATGAAATGGCCCCGGTTACCCCATTCACGGACGGACCTGCCCGTTGGTGCAACAGCGGAGATTGTTGCGTAGCCCTACCACAGATAGTTTTTTTTTAATTTTCATGATCTGTTATCGCGCATCAGTTTATATTAAAGGCATTCATTTTATAAATGTAAAACTTTCTACTTTGTTGTTTCTTGATAAACTATATACTTACTTAATAAAACTTTGTTTAGTTTATTATTAGTTATTCACTAATATTACGGACGAACCAGGGTACAAGTGAGAGTTAATTTACCGCAGAGCTTGTTTTTTGTTTTTTCAATATTTGATTTATTGGCGGCAAATAAAACGTCTGAACTGAATGCAGGTTACTGGACCGACGCGACGCACGCTCCTGGCATACGCGGCATCACGCCACCTTGACGCGCTATATCCGTAAATAAATAAATGCATTGTAATTTCAACCTTATCCCGTATGAAATAAATTCTGCTCAATTGCAACCGTAGCCGCGGACTTCAGCTGATTACTTTGTATTTGCGTTTTAGATTTTATGGTCAGAGCATAGAGACGAATTTTAATCGCATTGCAAACTTTCATTGTTTCGCGTTGCAACATCGTGGTTTCAATCGGAGAGCTCGATTAGGTTTTGGAGGGAAGCCACTAAGGTCATCGACGCAGTGGCTCAGCAGTCCGAGAATAATTCATTGCCCTTTGTGTATATACATGTGTCCCTTTCAATTCGCGAAGTTCACGATCCTAACATGATTCTTGGCTGCCGAAACTCGTTCGATAGTTTCAAACCACATGCATACGTCCGCATAAACAATCCGTCTGCGATGTGCAAATGCAAATGAATCTAGGTCTCGTACCGACGGATCTTCGCCGTGTAGTTAATTTTTATTGTAACTGCACTATTTAGTCTGTACGGATTTTTAAAACGAGAGGAAAAATAACATTGCTACATTTATTAAATTCAAACGGTTTTCCTTTCTTGATACACATGAAAAATAATGGAAGTTTTCATAAAGTGAATTGTTTGTATTTTAAATTAAAACTTATTGCAATCACTACCTTTAAAAACAAAATTAATCAAAGTTTTTTTTTTCATTAACGAACGTTCCGCATCCGGCCTCGTGCGATAGCGAAATGCGGAGAGAGCCGAAGCGGGTTTTTGAAAGTGAAATTCATTCCGCAGCGAAGTCATGATGTCACAGTTCACATTCATTTCATCGATTCCGATAGTAGTAATAATAATAGCGTTTCGCTCGCTCGGCGTGCATTAAATAATATTGCATGCAACTTAGTTTTACTTTATTTTTTGTTCAAATTTAAAAAGATTGTTTTGCATGACGTGTGATATTTCTGTGTGTGTGTGGTTTTCGTGGTGTGTTTATTTAAAAGAAACTTAAGTCTAGTACGTGTGATTTAGCCTTTACAGCTAAAATTATTTTGTAATAATTAGAATATCTTTGTGTTAATAGGCAGTTGTTTGTTAAGTTGGTGTTGTGGTTTTGTGAAATATTTTCTTATTTGTCTATAAAGTCATTGTTGGCTCTAGAGCCAATATCTAGTAGTGTCATCTACTTGACCAAACTATTGTTGATATTGTTTATATGGCATTCCATGTTAGCATGTATTAGTGAGTACATGAAAACTTCTTGTTTATTTGTGGCTATGGAAAATACTTGTTGTGTAATGAAGTTTTCAGCCTTATGAGATGTAGATACTTAATTACTATTAAAATTGCTAGAATAGTAAAGACCAACACCATTATTTTATACATAGGACTTGGTAAGATAAAACCTACACAATTGTTAATTAGTAACATAATATATGCGAACGATAATAGACTAATTAGTTTTTAAAGCGATCGCGTAACAAATTTAAATATTTGTTGCACTATTATGGGCACTCGCAAACTTTTCCCCATTATGCCGCATATTGCTCAGGTTGCTGCTACTTTATAATTTAATTGTCAATCAATAATAATTAGATAACAAAACCAGCGTTGTATTGTAGGAAATGTTGAAAAACTTTAAGACATAAATCAATATTTCTAATGCCTATCATTTCAAACATTAAAATTCCGCTGATGAAAATGGCTTCCTGCTAAGACCAATCTCGGACCCATAGAGTCACAAGGTCAACGCACAAGAAATCCGTTTTGCTAGCCCAAAGGGACCAGCAACAAGTCTGAATGTGATTCTCAATCCCCATCAGTTCCGACTTTCAAAAATAATTCCAACAAGATTTCAAAGCATTCCAGTCTTCATATTTCTATTCTATTTTTATGATATGTTTATAATAACATAAACAAGTGTAGTTATGATATACGTGCTATTTTAACTAACATAAGCAAAGTTGTTGGCAAGTTCTGCATTGTGTGGAAATCACGTAATCTTATATGGCACATTTTTCGCGATAATCACATCTTCACGTTCGACACATAAAACGCCAGACATTTGTACCTACATCGATCAACTGTTTTTGGTAAATGAATTCAAAGTCGATGTAATAAAACTGCAGCCATAGTGTAAAAACTCTCAAGGCCTCACTCAGATTTCAATTAAAACACAACTTGCGTATAATTAACTTTTGCTAGAATCCTAATAGTTCTTAGATAACTCGCAAGGAAATATTGTAATGCTAGTTAGTGCCATTTGATGTCTCTAACGACGTTAAGACGTCGTGTGATTATGGTGTGATAATTTATTTGTCTTTTGCTTGTATCGTTATCTATTAGTTTTTCTCATATTACGATGTACATATTCATGTCGGCACAAAAAATCTAAGGACTGTCTAATTACTCATTTGTTGGTGAATCATCTCGTCCACAATCACTGTTAAAGCACTGGCCACTTCACGTTCTGATATAAAAATATATAGGTAAGCATCGACCCCAAAGCTACTCCACGGTCTTCTCAGACCGTCGATCGGGTTCTCACAGACCTCGACACAGCACGAACAGGTTTGCCTCTGCGCGCTTATAGTTTAACGTGGTGCCTCCGTTTTCCAGCTAGCCCGTCTCGGGTACTACAAGCTGGCGGCCGCGGTGCAGCAGAACGACACGGAGCCGCGCACGCGCAACGGCCTCCACGCCCATCCGAAGGAGACGAAGTATGCTCGGAACCGCCATTGCATTGGCGTACATTCATTACCTTAAGCTGCGTTGACGAAACCAATGCTATCCATAACATAGATTTCGCAGCGAAATGAAATTATTTTACGGATTTCACCGCGCCTTTCAGCGTTCTTTGTTACAGGACGGACGACGTCGAATCGTTGGGAATTTAAAAAATTTAATTAAACGCGATAAAATCCGTAAAACAGTTTCATTTGACAGTATGTGTAATATTCCCGTAAAAATGATTGATTTTACAATATTTTGTGATCTGGCAACTGGTGGCAATTTACGACAGCGTGTGATCAAAGTGGGCAGAGTTATACTTTTCAAGGTTTACTTGTATGCGAATTTATTGAATCAATCGACTTAATCGTCAATTCTGTTGCATCTGACATCGTACGATCAAATCTGTTGCAAGAATGAACAAAATTAGGTATGCAAGTAAGCTTTCCTAATGTCAATTAGTATCAAGCTAAGATGTGACTATTTTAATTAGTTTAAAAGTTTTTGGCTAAGAACACTGATGATATTAACGCGTAGATGGTATTAACGTAAGGTGACCGAAATAAACTGAACTATAATGACCGGTTTAAAATAATTAAACTATTTTTTGATAATTCTATAAATTACCACCGTAAACGCTTAAATAATACCATTGTTCAGTTTAATTCAATATTTTGTATTTGAATGCACAATTCAGTATTCTCTTATTCATACAATAATTTATAGTGTAGTCATATTTTACTAACAAAATATGAATTCATAGGAATTGATATAAGAGTGTCTGAATAGTATAAACGTCTTCATTTTCTGTTCATTATTTTGACACAATACTACTATATAGCTCAATGTCATCTACAGTCAATCGATTTCGAATTATTGTTTATTAAGTATTATCATAAACTAAAATAGGAGTGTAAATTGAACAGTTAGGCATAAAAAGTATCTGCCAAAGCATGGAAAGTGATTGATATGCAAGTAAACAGTTAGTCAATCACGTAGTCGGCGTCTTAAATTCGTGGCTATACGCACGTGGTTGTCGATACGCTTTACAAACATTCCATGTCGTTATTAAGGAATCACGCACTAATTCACAAGAATTACAAACGCAAACGGCGACGCTAAGAACGGAGAAGATGTAATAGTTGTTCTTCGAAGTACCGTCTGCGTGATTGGATAACGTATTCGTGCATTACTATACTGATTACGGCTGTCACGAAATGTCAGACTGGAAACAAATGTATTAAAAAGTATGAATGAATGAATGAATGTACTTTATTGCACATCAGAAATAAACAAAAATTAAAAACTTAATGTAGACGTGATGGGTACAATGGGCGGCCTTATTACTAAGAGTAATTTCTTCCAGGCAACCTTTGGATGGAAAGTAGTTTGGTTACGCTGCAGATCTTATATTCTTTTGTCCTCCCTTTTGAAATGTTTATGTTTTGTATATCTGACAATATGTAGTAGGTTCACTTGATGGAAAGTGATCAGCGCAGCCCATTATAATCTGCAACGTCCGGTGTAGGTGTAAGAGACTTAGGAAGAAAGAAAGAGATTTATTTGGTACAAAACAGACTGAGGTAAACAAGACTCGTATTAAGCAATAAAAACGTAATAAATTTATAAACGTCTATTTCTCGCTTTGTCTTTGATCAGTACAGCTTATACATTGGCTGGATAACGTTAAAATATTATATCTTTTTTTTTGTCCGTCTGTTATCATCGCGTTATAGTGATTTCGGCTTGGAACTTCTATGTAGATTCGTAGGTGTCAGTTGTAAATATTACTGGGGACAACTGACACTACAAAGTGTCTATGTTTGACTCAGGCATGCAAACCCTCAATGTATATACAATTTTTAATTTTTTTCAGGAATAAAACTGTCCAAATGGACACCGACAGCTTAGTTCTCTGGAGGAGGCCGTTGACGACCTTAGACTATTTCTTGAGAGAACTTCTGATATTGATCTCGACAGGCATGCAGAGGTACACATAATTACATAACTCGAAGAATTAAACACTGATTAGCCTGAATAATTGAACAATAATTTTGATTTCACATATTTTATTAATATTAGATGGTATTTGTAATATTTTATTACTCTGTCGCGCCGTTGCTAAGCTATTGGCTTCAGCGTCGGGGGTCGTGGGTTCGATTTCCAAGGGACGAGTATTTGTGTTCCGGACTCCTGGGTGTTTGTTTCCCATGGAGGGTTATCATCAGGCGGGCGGCCGGTTGTAAAAACTTGCCAAAACCGCTTACAACATGACTCACATGCTCTGCTGACCCGTTTAGGTGGGATAAGGGCAGGATGATGATGATGAATTTGTCAGAATATTTTAGACTAGCGTTAAACAATCATACTTAATACGATAAAATTGTTGAAGATTAGCAGCAACCAAAAGACTCGCAAGAGCAAAGCGTGAGGTAGCCTGGTCGTTTACGTATTCTTCGTTACTATGTAATGATTCGACATAAACACCCATGAGATTGCAATTACGTTGTCATCTTTTGGGAAGGCGAAAGTATGAATACTTCTTTTACATTTGGTCGTGGTACCTCTATGGTAGAACGCATATCTATTACAGTAAATATCATAGACGCGTGTCTTGTAAGAATGTTATGGATATCTTTTGTTTCTAAATTTGAATTGTTCTTTTGTTTTCAGGTTGCTTGCTTATAGAATACTAGCGCTAACAATATTGTTATCAGTAGCCGGTACAGTCACTTCTTACTACCTGAGCGGACCACACCAACCACTCGTTCAGGTAAGTTTTTTCTACTACTTTGACTAGATAACGTTGTGTGTTAAATAATACAAAATAATACTGGAAAATAACACTGGTAATTAATACTAGTACATACAATAGGCAGTCTTTACTCGCCACTGCGTTCGTATCAAAGTTATGTTTGTCCCCAGCTGGTGGTGACGAAGCTCGCGTGGTGGGGCTGGTGGGTGGTACTTGGGGTGTGCAGCTCGGTGGGCCTGGGGACTGGCCTGCACACTTTCCTCCTCTACCTAGGGCCCCACATAGCGCGCGTCACGCTGGCCGCGTACGAATGCGGCTCTCTAGACTTCCCCGAGCCGCCCTATCCTAACGAGTTAGTGTCTTAAACCCCTTCGAATACACAGACTGTTAATGTTCATAGTCAAATTTTGCATTTCTTTGCATCAGCATGTGAAAACAGCTTTATAATGAATGCAAATCATGTGAACGCGGCTTTATAATGTAAGAATGACATGTGGTGAGAACTAATATGCTCAGTGTTAAGTCTTTCCGCGTCCAGTTCCAGTGATGTGTGGAATAGCATTCCTATCTATCTTTCACCATCAACGAATAAACGCTCAAAAGGTCTTTACCTTCATGCTTTATTGTCGATAATCTCCGACAAAGTTCTTCGTCAATACATATAGTGTTATACAATAAATAAATAAAAAATATACATCGTGTCGTTACAACCACGACAATAAATTAACACACGTCTAACGCTACTTGCCAATAATCATAAAAAATATAAAACGTTAAAATACGATTGTTAAAAAAATAAATTTTTCAAACAAACTAATTAAATAAAAAAGAAACAAAATTTGTAACACCTATACAACTACAACTGAATGATTCATACATTCAGACACTTTTTCATTCGTTGCCGTAGCGTCGCCCTACAAATCTCTCTTTCTAACAGTATGTTTTGTCTCTTTCAAATTCATTCAACCCATTCATATGCTTGTGACCTTTATAAATGAACTTTACGTTACAGTTTTATACGTAAGGATGTTCTAAAAATTTTTCTTTGTTTTGGAAAATTTAATAACTCGGTAAATATTGATGTTTAAAGGAAGTTATCCTATACATGTGTGTTAATTTATTGTCGCGGTTGAAACGACACGCTGTATATAGGTATATTTTTTTCTAACGCTTTTTATAGACATGTACAATATCTGTGAGATTGCAGATTCGTTGCCATCCTTTAAAAGTGTGGATTCGGTTATCTCACCCATCAGACGAAATGCAAAAGTATAACTTGCACTTCACTTTGTTTTTTTATGTCTCTTCCCGAACGAGCTTGCCCCATTTTTCAACAGTAGAAGCTGTAGCGTGGCCCTATCTAACAAGGCGCAAGTTCATGCTGCTATTGTTAGGATAGTCACCTAGTTAAGTTATTCCTTTTTCATTTAAAAAGCTCACACTAGGACGATTTTTTCATTATAAGGACAAATGACCTTTGCGCGTTGGTAATAGAGTCGGTTTCTGCCCGCAGCATCATCTGTCCGACGGACGCGGCGGCGGCGGGCGCGGTGACGGTCTGGAGCATAATGTCCAAGGTGCGGATCGAGTCGATGCTGTGGGGCGTCGGCACGGCCCTGGGTGAGCTGCCGCCGTACTTCATGGCGCGCGCGGCCCGCCTCTCGGGCGGCTCGCTCGCCGAGGTGGCGGAGCTGACCGCCGACGACACGCGCACCGGCAGGTGGGCGAAACTGACGCTTATCGCGTGAGCGTTTAGGTCTATAGTCGGGTGCGCCTCACCGCGGTTTGGTTTAGCGTAAACGCGTTGAATGGTGTGAGCGAATATGAAGCTTAAGACCTAGTTTTAAGGTCGATAGTGGGGTGAACAGTGCCCGTGGGATCGACTGGCTGTCCTTAAGTAAGGGCAATGTTTTTTTTTATAAAGAATAAAAATGTCTTAAATAAATAATTTAAATTAAATTGAAATACAAAAATAATTATTTAGGTCACATTTTTACGCAACGTTCTCTAGTCCCAAATTAAGCAACGTCTGTGGGTACTAGATAACTGATAAACATACTTAAACATACTTTTCTTATGTAAATAAATATATATTATACATATGTATATAAACACCCAGACACTAGAAAAACATTATGTTCATCACACAATATTTTTCCATTAGTGGGGATCGAACCCACACCCAATGGCGGAGGAGGCAGGTACACTGGTCGCTACGCCATTCGGGTCGTCTAATCAAATCTTTCGATGCAGGGCTAAGGTGATGGTGCAGAGGCTGGTGCAGCGCGTCGGTTTCGCGGGCATCCTCGCGTGCGCGTCCATCCCGAACCCGCTGTTCGACCTGGCCGGCCTCACGTGCGGCCACTTCCTGGTCCCGTTCTGGACGTTCTTCGGCGCCACAGTCCTGGGCAAGGCGGTCATCAAGATGCACATACAGAAGATGTTCGTCATCATCGCCTTCAACGAGGCGCTGGTCGGGTGAGGGCCGTTTCGTCATCATCTCGCACTATATTAAAGGCATCTTTAATGTTTCTGTTGACATTTTCGCAAACTACGCCGCTTTCTATTCACAAAATTTTTTGCAAAGTTAAAAAGCGAACAATACTGATGAGATATCAATTTTAATTTTAGTCCTAATTTCTGCATGCAATATGAAACTTAAAATTATTTAATAATAATAATATATATATGAAATTATATTGAAAGAAAAAATTTCTTTTTTACATATTTAATAAGAGGGAGGTTATTTTAAATTAAAAGTGACCGAAAAATATTTAGGTACTTAGTTAACAAAAAGTATTCTACCTGTAAAAAGTCGTTTTGAAAGCTCACGAATTTTTGCAGAAACCTGGCTCCGTTTATCTAACAAGTAAATACCAAATTTTACCGCCCGATAAATGAGTGTTGAAACAATTCTGATCACAGGCAAGTCTTGACGTGGGTGGAGAGGATACCGTACGTGGGTCCGAAGCTCGAAGCCCCACTCTTGGAGTTCCTGCGCAACCAGAAAGCGCGGCTGCACAAGCGGGACCCCGCTTCGCCGTTGCCAGAGAACCAGGGCTCGGTGCTGTCGAGCCTCCTCGAGAAGTTCGTGCTGGCGATGGTGCTGTACTTTGTGGTGTCCATAGTGAACGCCCTGGCGCAGAACTACGCCAAGAGGGCGGGCAAGAAGAAGGGCAAGAAGCGCGACTAGGGTCCGAAGACGCCGGGCGATGCTGTTGGTAGAGTCGGTGAGTTGATTTATTAAACCCCCCTCGGTAAAAGGAGGGGTGTTATAAGTTCGAGGTTGTTCTGTGTATCTGTGTCTGTCTGTGTATCTGTGTCTGTCTGTGTATCTGTGTCTTTCTGTGTATCTGTGTCTGTCTGTGTATCTGTGTCTGTCTGTCTGTGTATCTGTGTCTGTCTGAGTATCTGCGTCGGTCTGTGTATCAGTGTCTGTATGTGTATTAGTGGCTGTCTATTTATCAGTGCTGTCTATGTATCAGTGTATGTCTGTATGTGTATCTGTGCCTGTCTGTGTATATGTGTCTGTCTGTGCCATCATAGCTTCTAAACGAATGGACCGATTATGGTATGTTTGTTTTTGTTACAAAGCTGACGTGATCGAGATGGTAGCGTTGATTATAATTTGAGTTTTTTTTTACTGTAGCTATAATTTGAGTGTTTTTTTTTCGTGTCAGGGCAGTATTTAAATTTTTTATAATTTGATATTATTATTGCATTAAGCTGAATATCAAGTAATGGGCTATTATCTATGCCGACACTTGCGAAAACGAAATTTAATATTTAATTTCTCTTTCTTCAGCACGGCGGCGTCCAGAGAGACTGCCTCGACGTAGGTAGCACCCGCAAAGTACTTTAGTCACACACGCCAGCTTTTACGCCTCTAAACTGTTGAAGACCAAATACACGTACCCAGTAAGAAACAATATTATGCGTTTGTTAAGAAATTAAACTTTACGGTGTGTAAAACTTGACTTCGTAGGGAGAATATTGCCCTCTCGTTCGCGCAACAAACCAAAACGCTTCCTGTCTCTCTCTCTCACGTTTTGGTGTACTGCAGTAAAGTTACGAACAATGTTTTCATTCAGTTTTGTGAACAATGTTAGCTTAGATATTTGGTTGTACTATTAAAGATAAAGCGATGTTTGCACTCGACGATACAAGATTCACGTACAGGCGCGTTTGAGTATTGGGCGCGATTGTATTTAGCGGAAATACGAAATTTAGACATTCAATCATTGTGCTAAGTTTCAAGTTTCCCAAAACACGTCACTTATTCAAGCTATCGAAAGAGTTGAATCTTGTGATATAAATATAAGATTTCTAATCCCACAATTCATTTTCACAACATTTTATTGATTCACAACAATAAAAAAAAATGTTTTTTATCTGTTTGAAACAGCGTTTATTGTAATTTGTTAATAAGACAGCTTCCAAATTTATTTGTGAACATAGCAATAAAATATCTGTTATGTATTTTAAGAGTTAATATCGAAAACCCTGAGAGTTAATATCGATTATACAAATAGTTTTAATAAACCTACATATATATTTAATGATCTTTTTTAGTCCACAATGAATTGACAGAGTTGTTTATTTGTCCTTTTGATCAAAAAAGTTTTTCTTCTAAATAATATAAACATCTCTTATTGATTATATTGCGTTATATTCACAAAATTCTAAGCTATATAATTAAAATGTGAATTCAAGTCATATATACATATAGCGTTATGTACAAATGACTAGCGTACTGCCAATTAAACACATTAATTGGGAAATTACGAATTAGAACAAAAACATTACGTGTGAAACTGTACTTTATCGTGTATGCGTTAAGGTTCATTTGAAATGCTTAATTTTGTGACTAAACAGAACGCATTTCAATACTTTGCAGTAGGACACCAGCTATAGCGCGACCAATGATATCTTGCCCGTTGTCATTTTTAATTAATTAATAAGGTATAAACAGAAGGCATCTTTGATATATACAGCCTTAAAAGATCTTAAAAATTATCTTTAAAAAGAGCTCCTCATCAATAATAATATTCGCAGCGTGTTACATTAATCGCTGTACTTTGTACTATGGTTTTGGAAGTGAGAATGATGGCTTATTTTTTTATTCCTTATTAAAGATAATATAATGTCAGACCTCGCTCATCTAATAACGGCGTGACAAATATAACACCATTCTCTTTTGAATAATCGTTTTTTTTTTTGCGTAGGAGTGCCAAAGTCGAAGGAACTTGTTACCGATACTCGTAAAAATATTATTAAACGTAGTTTATTAAAAATCGGATAAGGTTACGGTGTTTTACAAGATTTTCTTTCGTCCATGTGATTTCTCAAAAAAAAACCTACAAATCCATTGGTGCTGTTCCTATTTTTTTGTCAGGGCGTGACCTCAGTGTGTAAATCTAACCTAGTCGGAAGGAATAAATATATTACACATTTATTTGTAATTCCTTAATTTAATAATAACAAAAGATATTTTATTGTACTCCTTGCGCACACGAAGTTTTTCTTAATTTGACTTAAAAATTCATTTATATTTGACTGGCATTGTTGGCAAAGCAAATCGAAAACTTCATTCAAAATATAATTTCAGCAGTTAGCTATTTTAAATGAGACAGCTTCATGTGCATAAGGTTTTATTTTATTTGATTAATACTAGTTTTAATCTTTATTTAATGTAAAGGCAATTATTTAATTTTAATCAAAACTAAGTTGTGCATATTAATTAGTGATAGGGTTTATGAAAGACATTTTGTATCATGCACCAGTACACATATAGACAGACAATTCAACTATTCATACGAAGTAATAAGGCAGTATTAATTTTAAGCAGTTCTTTGGCTGCAGGCAAAATGCAGCCCTCAATGTAAACGTCAGTCAACACTAAATAAATAAATTAATTCGCATAGCTTGCATTCCTTTACTAATGTTTAAATTTTCTCTATTTGAATTGCACTCAGGATTTTAATATAGTAGCACGTACTGTGTTTGCATGTTCTCACGTATTTAAATTTAATACCCGAGCATTTTAGTCAAATTTGTATTTTATGATTGTAAATAATTATATTTTAGTAGCACATGGGCTGTTTGAACATTCCACAATGTTTGTCAATTTTTCTTAACCAACAATTTTATTTTTAAATTAGAGCGTTTATAGAATTTTCTAGTAGAAACTCATAATTATTATTCAAATAAAGCAATACAACAATAACAGATATAACTATTAATTTATGATTGATCACAGAATAATTTTGTGTCTGCATATGTGGAAGTTTCTATTATTTAAATACTATGTTTTTGTAAAGAAGCAAACGAAGATAAGAATTCAATCAAAGGCTCAATTAGCATATTCATTTCATTATTATCCACATTGATTAAGATGATGCCATAGCACACACTTGATTTTTTGTATGATCCATGAGGACTATACCTATCTTATATGATTGAAAAAATTCTTATATTTATTAGATCGGCTTTTCATGATTTTTTATCAAAAATTGTCAAAGGAAAATATAATATTGTTTATTGAATATTGTAATAAAGCTTAAAATGATAAAGATTGAAATTGCAGAGAGGTAAACACAAAGCCTCAGGATTGTTTTTATTTTCTTTTAATTTTATCTTGAAAAGGAATTTTGATATTTGCAATGTATAATATATGATTCTGTAAGGTTTTGTATAGTCTCGAGAAGTCGTACATTTAGTACAAAACTGCTAATAAGGGTTTTATAAATTAGAACATTCAAATCCAAAACAGCAATAAATGAGTGATTATTAGAAATGGTTTATTTATTTCCTGAATTACTATTAAGACTTCCATGTTGTAATGAGTACGACAATATCGTATCGTTAGAGAGCGGACGTTCCCCAAGGATCGGTACTTATCCGCCATCTCAATACTACGGTTTCTTAACTTTTCTCGTCAGCTCCTTAATTGTTTACGATTTAACTTTACATATTAATAGTTTGCGTGATGGTTTCTGCTACTTACACTGAATTATAATGTCAAATTGAGTGGTCGTTACATAAGGGAAGGTTGAATACCGCTCGCAACACTGGATCTCAAATGAATGAGATCATCTTCGTCGTCAATTTAGTCAAGGTTGATCAAGAATGGACTATGCATCAATGTTTTACCGATCCAGCAGTTCTGGTTAAAAATCTTTCGAAAGCGTCGTGTTTCTGCAAGTTCAATCTGAACTATAAAAGATATAGTGCAGATAATATGTTGTTAACGCGCGCGAAGTAAGGCCATGATAATTGATCACGCTACGTAGGGTGACGAGTAAGACACGGTGTCAAAAATTCTGCGATGATAAAAACCTACTATGACTTTAAAATTTACAAAATACAAAGTAACTCTCATGACATAAGTATGTGATATCAGATTTATTTGTTTATGTCTTTCGATTATTTTCCTTATATTTTAATCTTTGGAGGGAACAAAACAAAGAAAGAGGCGGCAAATAATTTTAATACGGTGATGAGAAAGAGCCGTGATAGCTCAGTGTCCGGGCGCTCACCTTTAATTCAATATACTCGAGCAACCTGAGTTCGATCCCCGTTGCCAGCACCAATGAAATTAAATTATAGGTATGTACCTACCTATTGTATGTATTAATTAGCGTAATTTTCGCATAATGTGACGGCTATTCACCCGGCGGGCCTGCACAGTGCACGTGCTACACTTAAGAGTGTCACAGTACAGTATAGCGATGAGCGAAACAGTGCGGGTCAGGCGGGTGGTGCGGCCGTGGATTTTTTTTTTGACGTGGGAGAAATGCCTACGCATACCCGCCTTCGCGGAGGCAAGAGCGGGTTTTGTCGGCCTCACACCGACTAAAACCCCCACGATGTTTATAACTAGGCGCACATCGGTAGGGCCAAGGGCACGCTTTCGTACACTTCCGCGACCCTGCCAGCGCTAGCCGCCTCAGCAGCCCACTCCCGACGATCAACTCCCCTGTCCCAGGTAAGGCGCGCTGAAACATGCAGCGCGCCTTCCTACTCGGCCCCTTTTTCACGGCCAACGAAATTCCCCCACATTCGCTGACCAAGGGCCATGGGAGCCAGGAGAGCCAGCGCCAATAAGCAGCAAGCCTCCCAGCCCCCAGCAGTGGACCTGGTCTGTGGCCCCGCCGCTCACCACGTGTCAGCCGCGGAGGGTATAACGGGAAGAACGGCGCACTGCAATACCGATTCTTCTCCTCCCCCGCGGCCCTACCTCAACTGCATCAACGGTGCCGGCCCGCCGAGTCGCGGAGGATAGGGAGCGCGGCCAACGCAACACCGACACTCCTCTTCCCCCGCGACTCCTCCTCGGTGGCAGAAGACAGGGAGAGTGGCTCCACCTCTACCACCCTCGACCTGGTTCCCTGCACCCTCCAGCATGCATCCAGAATGGACTCAATGAGCCCATTCGGAGCGGCCCAGTGTGGGTTCCCCTTAGCTTCGCAGTGGGTGACCAAGCCACGGCTACTAAAACCCTCCGCCACGTCAAGGCGGTAACACGTTTGGAGGGGGCGGTGAGTTCTCTTTGGATTTCGCTTGGTCTAACAATAAATAGCCGTTATGGTATGCGAAAATTCAAAAGGGTCACACACGACATTTACCCAACGATTATATATTCTATACCAATTTATATATTAATGCATTATGTAAGTTAGGCTTGTAATGGACCCAGGCGTTCAATTCATAAACCCCGTAGCGGTCCAGTAGGTTAAGAGACCTCGTTCTATTTCTTTAAATTATTTGGCTAACCCATGTTTATGGCCTTTGTAGTCTTTCTACTTTCTATAAAATTATGGCAACCCTCATCGCTGTCAAGTGTCACAAAATGTCATTAATTCAGAATCAGCTGTCAGACTCGGTCAATGTTTTAGTTTAGTATTAAAATGTTAAGACGTTTAACATCTTTTTTAATTCAATCCCGTGGTATCAAACACCAAATTCATATAAAATGGGTGCGACCAGAATACGTTCCATCTTACAAACCTGAAAAATCTGGTGATTTAGAAGGGCTCCCATCTATTCCGCCTACAAGCTTAGGACGAGATTACGCATTAAGTGAAGAAATGAAAGAGTATGTATAAATGTTTTTAAAGAAAAAGGATTGCTTATAATGAGATAACTTTGAAGCATGTCGAAACATGTAAAATAAAATTAAATACTTTAATATAAAAAAAATACTAATGTCAATAGTTATGGAGTGTACATAACCTATATCGAAAGCAATTTTACCCATAAATAATTAAAAGTATCATTGTGTTTTGTAAATTTCAGTGCGCCAGAAGAAGTGAAAAGACTATTTTCAGTAGCACACCTTGGAAAGAAAGAATATAATAAATTAGTGGAACATCATTTTATTGATAGAGTTAAGAGGCATAAGTATGATGAGAATACTGCTGAAACTCGAAGTAAGAGTGCATTGGTTTAATTATTGATTATCTTATAAGGATTAAGGATTATACCACAATTTCTTTATGAAGAGTACGGTTGGATTTGTCTGATGTTAAGTTGTCACCACAGCCCACGGATATAACTATAACACTCATGGGGTTGCAATTCATTACCAATTTTTCAGGCAACAATAAGTATAATATTCTACTCAAGTGTACTTTAGTGCAGGTCATTGGTATTCCTATAGACTTATCCTTCTCTTCATGCAATGGCAGAAGTGTCAATGTGGGATTCAACAATGGAAAAAAACATGATAAAATCTTTGAACTGTCATAATTGAATTGTGAGTCAATACAAGAGCTATATAAATATAAAAATTAATATTTATATAATAATTTTTAGTTGCTAGACTCACTGGAACCATAAGGAGGCTACAAGATTCGATGGAAAAATTTCCAAAAAATGCAAAATCTAAAGTAAGTAAACATGTTACTGTGCTGTCTAAAAGTTTTTAGGATTTTTGGACTTTATTATCTCTTTTCAATAATATTTCTGTATTTAAACTTACAATTTTGCATGTTATAATATCATTATTAATAATAAAATTAGTATAGTTATAATACATTTATTTATCATGTCTGTTATAAAATAAAGATTATCGCTAAAGATTAAGAGTTTATCTAGGAAAGCTTTTAAATGGTTGAGCGAATACAAAGTATTGAGAATACTGAAAATTGAAAGTTTTCAAAATAATTTCAAAAATGTGCAGCAAAAAATACAAGCAGTAGTGCTGCTGCAGCAGCTCTACTGCTTGTATTTCAATATTCTAAGTTATATATATTTTGAAGTAATTTAAGCTAATATAAAAATTCAACTTAAATTCTTCAGTTATCAAGAATTAATACTAATATACAACAAGGTGCTACTAACGCGACCGTAAATCAACACACATATAGAGAAGAACATTTACTTTCTTTAAATATCAATATTTACCGAGTTATTAATTTTCTAAAACCAATAATTTTAGAACACACTTACATATAAAATTGTAATGTAAAGTTCAGTTTGTAAAGGTAACAAAGTATATGAATTGGCTAAATGAATTTAAAAGAGATAAAACATACTGTTACAAGGAGAGTAATGCGATGTTGTGGCAATGAATGAAAAAGTCTCTGAATGTATGAATCAGTCAGTTGTAGTTGTATAGGATCTTACAAATTTTGTTTCTTTTTCATTTAATTAGCTTGAAAATTATTTATGGATTATTTAACATTTATACAGGGAGATTTTTTGAGAAGTGCCCAAATTTACACTTCAGACTCTGTAGTATAATCATTTATTGAAATAAAAAACAACGTTTTTTTTTTTCAAAAGAAATGCCATTAAAAAACGCTAAAAATCATTAAAAAACAGAACGTGTTGACAATGCGGTAGTCATTCATAAATACCTAAACTTTACTGTGCACGAAGTTGTGTGCGTGTTAGTTATGAATGATCGCGCGTAAAGTAAAAGAGTTACGTATAAATCACGCACTTTTTGAGATAAGTTCGAATGAATGTAATTAATTACTTACCAAGTGATTTGAAATCTTTATCATTTTTTATATAACGGTATTTATGTCTAGAATTTAACAATAAAATGGATACACTTAGAAAAGCCACCCTGTATTTTTTTAATCTAATTATTTGCAAGTACTGTTAGATGTTCAATTGTTGTTGCGGTTGTAACGCCATGCTGTATAACTTATATTTGAAAGCAGATTATTTCTTTTACAGCAATTAGTACAAGAACTTATAGACAGGCGAAAAAAGCTGTTGAAGTTTTTAAGGCAGTATGATTACAAGAAATTTGAGTGGCTATTGGAAAAACTTAATATTGAATATAAAGGACACCCTGAGTAAGTGAATTGTTTCATTTACACCACAGTTACGATTTTTAACTTCCTAATACTATGCAAAGTTCCCAACAATTGAATATTCATTCTTCTTCGTGCTCTCGTACGGAACGGACGTCTCTCTAAGACGGAGGGCTAATGCCACCTGAATTAGACGCTACTCGCAACTTCAGTTGCAATTTAAATCTTTGTGCAAGCAGTGCAGTAGTTTAGTGTTAGTGTTGTGCCTACGAGGCAGGTTCCTGTTCTGTAAGTAGAGTTCTATACACACTTCTCGCCTCAGAGGCGGCATTTTTTTATTGAATAACTGAGTGCTTGTTGCGATAGGCGACAGCTAGGTACCCACCCTAGCGTACCTAAAGCGCAGGCGGATTAGTTGTTAGTTTTAGGCACATACCTCCCTGGGTCAAGGTGGGGAGGCCTATTTAGTAACTTACACGTCGGCGGGGCGCAAGCCCCAAAGGCTCAAGCGCTCGAAATGGGATCCCTCCTAGAGGAATTCCTTCGCCAACGATGTCCCGTAGTGTGGGCAAACTTTCTCGCGTTCGCGAAAGAAAAATGTTTAGTCGTCGAGTTCGCCAGCGACAGCCCGGCTTCACCGGCAGTCGCCTCGCCGTCATCTCCGGTGCCCTCTGCGCCCGCTAATGCGTCGCCTTCAGCATGTGCATGCCGTCCGTCGCCTCAGACACCCCAGAACCCGTGTTCCGATGGACATGGTGATGGTTGAACTTGACCCTACCCGGGAAGGTAAGGCCATCTTCAACCTCAAAAGGGTCTGTGGGCTCAGCGACCTTGTGATCGAGCCCCGCGAAGATCGGAAGTTGTGGCGCAGTGCCACAACTGCCAACACTATGGCCACACGGCTAATAATTTCGCTCACCCTAGGTGCGTCAAATGCACCGGTGACCACGGCACGCCCGATTGTACACGACCGAAAGATTGTGCAGATCCACCGGACTGCGTCAATTGTCACACCCGGCTAGCTACAGGGTCTGCGCTAAGGCCCCAAAAACTCCTGCGAGAAAAGCTCCGGCGAAAACTACGTTGCCCAAATCCGCGCCCACGAAATTCATTCCCGCGCCCGTACCCGTCGTAAACGCCTGGGCGAAACCCCAGATGGCCGCGCAGGTAGTCGCGCCCCCGGTCGCCTCACGACCAATCGCTCAATCGCAGCCCGCCTATCAAACGGCGCCGAGGCCGCAGGTGCAGTCGACACCGTCGGGACTGTAAGCAAAAACATCAGTTAATACAAGATACAAGACAATTGAATAGGAAAGAATAAAATATATGATCATGTATATCTTATTTTATCCTAAAGGGATAGACAGCTTATGGTATCCTGATTTTAACACATTTGCCCCAATTTTGATAAGTCATAGTGGATTTAAAATATATCATACACATTAACATACCTTGATTATTTAAGCAAATGCAATTTTAAACTAATATACACATTTTAGATTATATATATTTATATTTAGATTATATATGTATATATATATATATATATATATATTACATATATTTATATTTTTAAGGTCTTATAACAAGTTATCCCGGAAACAATCCTTAAGAAAACTGACTGAGATGCACTGTGATGACATTAAAAATAGCAAATTGGCAGACTACAGAAGCTTACTTGAAAGTCAACAAGGACCTTTCCTTAGGAACAAACTTGAAGCTCTAAACTTCATAAAAAAAGAACAACTTGAATTACAATTACCAGTCACAGTAACAGCGCAAGATATAAAGAAAGTGGAAGAACAATTGAAAGAATGGACAATAAAGGATGAGATAAAGCAACAAGCAAAGAAGAAGAAGAGAAACATTTTGTTAGAAGTTGAATAAACCATTTTTGATTAATAAACGATTAGTTTACAGGTGTCATATTTTTCTTATGACTTATTGAATTGAAAACATTATAAGTTTAGCATTATATGAATATTTTTCCAATTTTTAATGTTTATATCTTCTACTAGACAATCAAAGAGATAATGTGGTGCTAACAACTTTATGGATTTTATTTTTATGAAAAACTGGATCGCCTCCGTAATAATTGTATCAGATACATTTCCGGCTTACGAAAGTATGACCATATATCCCAGTATTGCTTTCAGCTTAATTGGATCACTACTACCAAACAGTCAGAGATAACTGTGATTAGTAACTTTATGGATTTTGTGTTCAAGAATAGCTTAACAATTTTTACTCGGTAAAGTTCTTAGTCGTAAATAAAAAAAATATATATTTTATAAATTTATTAAAAAAGTACACATATTTAACAAATTTTTTGAATTACAAAAAAAATAAACCGAATACAAAATCAAATTCAGTCAAAATTTGGACGGATATATTTAACAAAAAATTGTAATTTTTAATAGGTTCTGTTAAATTTAGAGTGCTAACCACTTAAAACTATGGAAGACTTAAAATTAAAACATTGGATTTTTACACTATAACCATATAAAATATCAGATATAATAAAAATATTTTGAATAGAAGCAGGGCAACACTATCGTATAGAAAATTGATCTTGATTAGGTGGATGATAACTTTTGAGAAAAACACAATATTTTTCTTAAAACTGCTATCTGTAGTCTCCGAAGCGGATTGGTTTTCTTAACCTTCCGTACATACAGTTTGTTGATTTATTTCGTAAATTTCTTTTTTGGAGAAGGGAGTGGGGGGAGGGGGTTAGGGCGTTGCGAAACATATCACATTTGTCCATTCAGTCCGCGACCGCCTCAGAGGGAGGTCGTGTGCGGCGCTCTGGCGTAGGCGGTGGGGATGAACCCGGAGCGGCGCGATTTGGGCGCGTGCGCCCACAGCCAGCCCTCGACCGTCTGCTGGGTTAGGTCGGCGTACACCCACTCGCCGCGCTTCACGGACAGGTCGTCCGGCGCTTGTGCCTATAAAGAGCAGACAAACGGACGTCATAATAATCATCATTTTAGCCTATTTGCGCCAGCCATCAACGTCACTCGCCACTCCATCTGAACTACACGTTTTATTGCACTTATTAAACACAAGGTTCAGTTTACATGGCCGCGGAATTGAAGGCAAGCTAAGGGTAATTGAGAAAGAAAGTGTGTACACCACTACTTTCTTTGTTATCTGTATCTATTATTTTGCGAGCAACATAAAATATTGCATACCATTAGCGAAATGTAACGTAGTCGTAGTCTTCATAAGATGTTATGTAACTTTATTAATTTCAATTTTAGTAAGTGCTGTTATGTAAAGTAAAATAGTCCATAACTAACCAACAGGCGGATGCAAATGGCAAAGCGTCGTTCGTTGTGGCGTTCTAAGGGGGAGGCTTATTTTCAACAGTGAACGCCTGCGGCTGATGATGATGAATAATATTCAAAATATAATAGGGTAGTCAAAACTACAAAACTGCTTCAAACAAAAACATAATGCAAACATTAAAAATGGTGTGTACAAAGCTATGATGTTTCAAAAGAATTGGCTAAATCAGAATAACCACGGAACAGAACAATTTCAGAATCACCATACATTGCTGTTAGACAATTGTCCGGTACCTATGTAAATTTTTGTAACTGTTATGTAAACTTTTGCGACATCTTGTATATGTGTTCTGAAGAATTACCTTGTAGTCGTATAGCATGACTAGTTCCGTGCCGTGATAACGCCCGTCGGAATCCTGTTGCGTGGTGTTGATACTGTTATTGTTGTTGTTGGACGACAGCATCGTGTTATTAGCGTTCGCTGGTGGCGGCTGATGGACGGGCTGTGCGTTCTCTTGTTGGGTTGCTACAATACAAAACATACGATTTTTTTATCTTTTACTCGGTTGTCTGGCTGTCCGGTCAAAGTCCAAAAAATTAAAGAAACTCCGTAGGTATCTTCATCCCCCCCCCCTCCTCCCCTTTGGAAAATTAAATAACTGTAAATATTGATGTTAAATGTTTAATACAACTTTAAAAAGTTATCCCCTATATGTGTGTTCATTTATTGTCGCGATGGTAACGACACGCTGTATACACCGCACCACGAAAGAGTTACTTTTTCTATGGAGTCTAGTAACTGGCGTTACAAGCTTGTGTTTCTTGTATTTACATTACGTACATCAGTATTCTTACTACATTACATTTTCATATATATTGAGATGCCAAGGTTGATATATTTATTTCTATAAATTTCTCTCTCGGAGATGCTTTCGAATCTAGATTATAAATTGTGGTGCAGATTTAATTGATCTAAAAATGTTTTCCTGTCGAATTAGACTTTATCCAATCTGAAACATGGAAGGTGATAAGCTTACGTATAATACATCCTTTGGCTTTGCGAAGAGACGTTGCTAAATATTAATTGACAAAACGGACGTACCCTGCACAACTGCGGGATAAACAAATCCCGACGGTATGAAGCCCTCCTGGCCGTCACTCCTCACAATCCAGTACCAATCTGGGTCTTCTCTGTTCAAGACTGTCGAATAAGTGCAAATTATGTATAAGGACGTGTTCGATATATATTATGGAAAACTAAGTGATGAATGTTGCATATTATTGTTCATCTCCATATGTAATAGTCATCATATACTTAAAATGTGTATATACTTAAATTGTCGAAATTTTTATCCACAATTTTTTTTCTTGACAATAGCTTATTTACACATTTTGAGTTTGACCATAACTGCAGACTATCACTAAAAAAACTTAAATTAGGAATAAATAGCATAAGTGTCTACCTGTTGGGCAAAAGGGTATTTAACATAAGCGTAAATTATTATATGAACAAAAACCCCGACTGCATTACATTACTACATATTCCTCTTTTTTTACGCTGTAATTTTTAATACTGTTCTGATTTTATACAGGGAGATTTTTTGAAAAGTGCCCAAATTTACACAGGAGGTTCAGACTCGGTAGTATAATCATTTATTGAAATAAAAAAACAACGTTTTTTCCACAAAAAAATGCTATTCTATTCCCTAAAAACCAGAACGTGTTGACAATGCGGTAGTCATTCATAAATACCTAAATTTTACTGTGCATGAACTTGTGTGCGTGTTAGTTGAATGATCGCGCGTGAAATAAATGAGTTGCATATAAATCACGCACTTTTTGCGATAAGTTCGAATGAATGTAATTAATTACTTCGAATTATTTTAAATATTTATCATTTTTTATATAATATTATTTATGTCTAGAATTTAATAAAAAAAAATATGGATACACTTAGAAAAGCCACCCTGTATACTCTATATCAATTTGATGATGGCTCATATGTTTCAATCCGTCAAAAGGCATAAGTTGTAGAGCGTGCCAAAGAATTGGACATAAGTAAAATATTTTAATTTTTTTTTATAGTGCTGATCTCTGCACTTAACATTAAAACATGTAGAAAAAGTACGAAGTACGAAAAGTACGAGTTAAAGGGCTGATAGCCACAGCGACAATTTCGAATTATCGTTGTAAAATGATATATCTATATCTTATATCTTTTCGTACTTTTTCTACATGTTTTAATAAGTAAAATATGTACACCTAAAAAAAATTACCCGCCTCCCCCTGTTAACTAGCTCACCAGACGAAGGTCGGAAGTGTAACGCGTCCACTTCACACCGGTCTTCTGCGTAGTTGCGGTACTTCTCTATCCGGACCTACCCAATCGTGCAACAGCGTAGACTGCTGCGTTCTACCACGGGTACAGTTCCCTCTACCGCGGGTACAGTTCCCTCTACCGCAGATACAGTTCCCTCTACCGCAGACACAGTTCCCTCTACCGCAGACACAGTTCCCTCTACCGCAGACACAGTTCCCTCTACCGCAGACACAGTTCCCTCTACCGCAGACACAGTTCCCTGTACCGCAGACACAGTTCCCCCCACAGTATACCCACCGGTGACGAACTCGCCCCTCTCCACGTCCACGTCGTTCTCGTCGCGGGCGGTGAACGTGTACAGGACCACGTAGCGGCCGGACGGGTCCTTGCTGAAGGGGCACGCCTCTCCCTCGCTGCCCAACTCCGAGTGGCCGTCGTTTGTCGCGCCGTCAGACAGCGACAGCCTGACGGGAGTGGGATAAGGTCGCACAAAACTTACGACTAAAGATCGCGTTATTAATATTGCGTGGCCCTACCACAGTAAAAAAATTAGGAGAAAAGATGCCGTACACCGATACGCACTTTCTCGGGGCCAATTCTAGTTCAGAAGTAGAGATGTCGCTTAGCAAAACTATCTAATAAAGATATATAATATATAACTAAGTTGTACGCCACGATACATTAAGTATAACGGGAGGGACAGAAAATGCGACATTTGGATTGCCCGCACACGATCCATAATGTCCTACGCTTGGATGCCTTTCGCGCATGTTCGTGCCTACGAGCACTGTCTATCGCGTAAGCCCGCGTCATAAGCTAGCCGCAGCCAACGAATAATACAGTCGACGGCTGTGGATGAACCTCGTGGAAATCTTGGCTTTCCACAAGCTCTATGCCCGATTAAGCTTTATACAGTCCACGGACTAAAAGCGAAAACACTGGACTACAATGCGAACGAGAGGACTTTATTGGATGGTCCCCACGCACACGTAACCGCTCCCATACCTATAAATCGTGTACTGCGCTGCTAAACGTATTCACTCACACACTGAGACACATTTATTGGTATTTTTGTTAGGCAAGCCAAACTTTAACCGTGGTAGAGAAGATACGCAATGATTTGATGTTGTTTAGCACTTAATTAGCATTAATCTCCTCATCCAATCTGTATAATTTATTAATAAGATTGCATTTCAATAATAAGTTGATTTAATTAGCGCTCGACGGCGGTGGTGTCCCAATGTATGTGTTGTGTAGTAGTTACTAACAGCTTTTGACGCCGTTTTTCCATAGTGCTACTTCAAACTTACTGCGAGACGTCTCTGTGTGCCAGATCAGTCGGGGATCGACTCCTCGGTAGCTTCTTCTTCAGGTCGTGGTGTTCGCAGGGCGCGCAGTACGAGTGGGGTATGAACCCCTCGCGGCGGGATTCCGCCACTATGACATACACCCAATCATTCTCCCGATACAATACATTTACTATTTGGCCACGCTTTACCTGAAATATGCACAATTTTTAATCAAAAAGTCGGATTCTATCTTTCGGTATATTGAAAATATGATTCTCTACTACTTTTAAAATATTTACAGACACGATTTTCCACAAAGTTATGTAGTATAAATCTGAGTGGAGCTTGCACTATGAGTACTAGGTTAACTAATATACATAGTTTTATTTTGTAAATAAATACATATCATTGATAAACACCTGGACACTAGAAAAATATGATTTATCACACAATTTTTTTTAGGAATGAATGAACAGTAAAGAAGTATATTCAAAGTATATTTCTTTTAATCTGACCTATACAAAGGTAGGTGTATCATGGCAGTGAATATAATATTGCCATTTATAGGGTATGAATGTGATATTAAATATGCATTTAAGAAGATGGAAAACTAAAGTTTGTCCAAAGATTACCACTGTTACTTTATTAACCATGTATTCCAAAAAAGAGCTATGAGTTGACATTTCTTTCAATAAATTAATGTAAATCTCAGATACCTTAAAAATTACATATGCAGCCTTAATTAATCTTTTTTTCTCTTAACTCCTTAAATATAAATTTGGGTACTTACGTATTAAAGCCACCGCAGTAGAATAAGTTGCGCCTATACGCCAATAGAGTGAAATCTTGTTGTTCGCACGTGCACACTGTTATTTTAAATGATACAGCAAAAAATCACTAATGAATTTATCAACAAGCAGAATTCGGTGGTCGCTTAGTTTTCGAAAAAATAAAAAATCAATCTGCCATTTTTTTGTTGTCAATATGTCAATTCTGCTCGTATTTCTTTGTGTTCATAAAAAAAATAACCTAACCATGAAGGTTAACCTGAACCTTCTAACCTATCTATCTGAGTCGGATTGAACAACAAGATTGCACTCTATTGGCGTATAGGCGCAACTTATTCTATTGCGGTGGCTTTAATTTGTAAATACCTAAATTTGTTTTGATTATGCATTCATAGAGGATATTAAAATCAAAACAAAAAATATGTAACCCCTATTTACATCTACTAGCTATGCAGAGTTCTATTATTGCAAATGTGGCTAAATGATGACAATTTTTTCAGCTTTGTTCACATTGGCTAATAAATTTATACTGAATATATCTTAATCTAACAAACCTCTAGTTCATCATCCACACAAGGTGCAAAATCATGTAACACCACCATTTTTGAATCAGGGCTGAGTCCATGTTCCTTCTCAATACCGACTCTAACTAGTGTCTCAATACTTGCTGATCCTGTGATCCTGCCCATACCAGGACTAAGACCCGATCCTGGTCGAGACAATTCTTTGTCTGAGTCACCACTATTTGCTGAAAAAAAAAATTATCTTTAATAGAACTTATACAAACAGTCATGACAATAAGCTATTATAATGCAATCATAAACTATTGTCATAGAATATTTTATTATAACCTATTTCATTTTTGTTACTATTTTTAAAATATTTCTCTTCTCCTGAACAATAAATAAAATTAGCAACAAAATTATTTTATAGGTTTATGTAATTACAAACCGGTTTAATGTTAAGCATTTAAAATATTTGCAAACCTATGTTAAACCTGTTTAATGAGAAATTTATTTTAAGTGTACATTTCTGTGTAATATATAATATTTTCCAGTGGACAGAACTTAATCTTATTTTTAAACATAATTCCGAATATTCATGTAATTCTGTAAACTTTTAAGGCTTTGACCATTTTGACATATTAGGAATAAATATAAACAGTATATCGAAAGTCAAGCAATCGTTTATCGTTTAAGTTGGTCCGTTAAAAATATTCCCACGGTCAGGGTTGTACAGGCGTACAGGTTCTCGTAAAACGAGATGATTTACTAGTTTTCTATATTTATATTTATGTATAGAAAGTTAGAGGTCATTGACTTGCAAAGTTTTTCGAACTTAAAGTTTGCTATACTTACATTTCTTCTTTTTGCCCCTTCTTATTCTGACTGGACATAGAAATGCCATATTCAAGGTTTTCTTACATTACTGTAAAATTGTCAACACCATTCGCTTTTACACAGATCTTTGTGCGAGTGCGATTAAACAATTCACACGGTTCTCAAATTCTCAATGGATAAATGTCAAAAAACTCACAGACTACAGATTACATTTCATTTTACGCAAAAAAAAGTTAACATTACGTTTCATTATACATTATATAATAGCTTCTTTTAGACTTATTTGTTTATAAATTCACATTATTTCACTTTATTATAAATATTACACAATCGTGTATCGTATATATAAATACTCATTACAACTGGTCTAAGCTGACCATGGTCACGTTAGGGATTCCGTTGGTTTACCACCAGGGGATTGTGATGAGTTTTAGCTCACTAAGACCCGTTTTATTAAGTATAAGAGTGATCGCGTAATGTCGTGAAATCACTGTGTGGGTCGACATTTCTTTGATACCACTTGATTGCACCGATTGCACTTTGTATGATACATTATTTTGCACTGAATTATAGTTGTGGACAAAAGCGTAGTTAAGTCTGAAGGAGGTGTCATCGCTGAATTTCGGTGACACGCAATACCACCTGAGTCTCGGAGAGTCCATGATTGCTCCTTTCCAATGTAGTTGGTAAAATCCCGGAATTGTTGCCGAAATATAATACCGAATAAGTGGTCATATACATAGCAATTAGATATGGGAGTGTAGTCAACTTCAAATTACTTAAAGTGTGATATAATATAATATATGGTAGCCGGATAGCTTGTGTGCGTTGATGGTGAAGACATAGTGCTTATTTTTTTCGGTTTTAGGTTCCTGTTTTCCATTTAGAACTAATCGCTGAGACTATAAGCGTTGCTTTTTGATAATGATATGATCTGAAACCATATAGAGGAGTGCAATGTCATCCAGAAAAGGAGCGAGGGGTTTGGTGGGTCCTTCGGAGTGTCACTCTTGTAGATTAGTGGTGAGAGACCTGATTCTTGATAAACGCCCTGTTAATGGGATAGTATGTATATAGTGAAAAGATTGGTTTGGTAGAGGTTTGAATAGTATGACCGAGTCTTCATGGCACAATAAGTGCGAATAACTGATAAGCCGTTGTGCCAGACTTTCAAATGCCTTTATGACATCGAATAAGCGTGGAACCATTTTGGACAGTCTTGATTAAGGTTCCTAATGATATGCTCTGTGATGCGTAGGACTTGTTTAAGGTAAGTAGGATGTAGGATATAGACTAGACCAGACTGTTTCTCTTCACAAAGATTGCGTTTTAGTGTTCTTGTGGCCCCAGCAAAAGTGACAGCGCAGGTGCAACGTGGTTTTTTTAGTGATGTACCCCCGTAACTCCCACATACCACTGCTGCCTGCTCGCAAGGCAGCGGGGGATCTATAAAGGATTATTCCCACATTTTAAAAAAAAGATCAGACAGATCAGGAACCTAATCGGGAGATAGCTTGACGAAAGGTTGCGTTGTTTAATCGTTATTGTGATGCTGAAGTCTTCTTTCCCGACATCCAATAAGGACCAGAAGAAATATGTGAAAACAAGTAGATAATTTGGCCAAACACATGTACAATAAAATTTTACACATGCAAATAACTTTTCGAAATATATCTTAATTTATCTGATTTTTTAAATATTATATTGTACAGGTATATTTAACACCAATAGAACAAACATATTCAAAATTCAATGCCCAGAAATATTTTATATTTTAAACGCAATATTAAAATAGTAAAACATTTTTGTTACCTTACCTTTTTTAATATATGAGCGAAGGGTAAGTTTTCAATAATTTTTTGTTCCCCTATTTCAATAACTTTTGTGCGTACAAACGCTGAGCGAAATCTCTTTCCTTCTCTCTAAATCTATTTAAATAAAATGATAGAGGTCTGACTTTGTGCGTGCATTACAGAAAAAACTACTGATTTCAATGAATATAAACAGTGATCGGGCCGGAACACTGCACGAAAGGACAGGTACGTCCAGGGAAGTGAAAGTGTTATAATTCAGTCTTTCGTATGGTGAATGAGTTAACGCCCGGTAACGCACTTTATCAATAAGATACAACGTATCAGCAACCCTACGTTTATTGCAGATGTCTATGGGCGTCGGCACTTATCTACAGAAATAAATTGTGATATCTTCATTTAATGTATAGAAAGGGATTTAAGTTCTAAGTAACAAAAGCACTACGTGTCCAGTGATGTGTGTTTTCTTGCCGTGGAAAAGTGGGGCAAGCAGTATAGTTGCTAATATTAAGCGAAGTAGACGAAGTTGCGGGTATCAGCTAGTTTATTAATAACCTGTTGGGTTAATTCAACACTGTCCCGAGAAGGACTGGCCGGAAAAGTCTGCGAGAAAGTTTTTTTCCAAAGGTTATATATTGTATATATATTATATCATCAGTAGAAACTCGTCATCTGGGACTTTCGGACATCGGATGGCTTTTCAACAAGGTTTTACACTAGTTACTATGTCTTAAAGCCAAAAGCTAATTTAATGGTTTTTGACAATTACTAACTTTGTTTTCACAAAAATTTTAAATGATGAGTGATAAATTTGGGTACATTGAAATTTTATTTTAATATTCCCTAAATAAAAGTAGCCTTTTTAAAAATAAAGGTTGCTCTCATTATAAGTCAAGTTCTAAATTATACCCATAACCCTATGTCAAATTAGCGACGTCGAAACAGGAAATTTGGTTTTGAAAGTTATCCACACTCATATCAGTTTCATAGCGCACCCTGAATCAAACAAAGTCTAATTGGACCCAGAAGTTGGGCGTCGTCTCCACTAGTTTATTTAGTTGTTATTAGTTACTTTTAGGGGTGTTTAATTAAAAATTTTTATGAATAGATTCATTGAATAAACTTTTTTAAACTTTCATCTTTGTTTATATTTGTAATTTATCATGACCAGATTTCAATTAATGTAATTTAAATTTTTATTATGTCAGTTGGAAGAAAATGATGACAAGGATATTTGACTGTCATGAAATATTATTGTTGAATATAATTTTTCTACATAATAGTTTAAATATTAACTTTTATTTAAGTGAGTTGGCAAGCGAGCCGGCGGTTCACCTAAAGTTAAGCGATAATAATTTGTTAGGCTCATATTGCAGTTCAATAAGTTGCAAACATAATATATTAGTACCCGGAGGACCCAGCTTTGCTCGGTTTATTTGTGGTTCGGTAAATCGTGTATTTTGGAAATTACATTTAGATACAAATTACTGAGTAATGAAATATGCATGAAATGAGTAATGAATATTTTTCGATCGTACCGACGTAATAATAAGAAAATATGAACTGATGTTTTTCACAAAAGAAAGAACTTTAAAAAAAGGGAAAAAAAAATAACAAAATAACAAATCGACAAAAAATTAAAAATAAAGAAAGCAATGATCTGGAATCTAAAAAAAAGTAAAAAAATAAATGTGTAAATGATCGTGAAGCGAACCACGGCCGTCTGTTTTGGGGCCACCTAATTACCGACCGAGCTATTATGACATTTTCTCTTGCGGCGAAATTTACCGTCATATTCGAATTATATTTTTCATTCCCTGAAAACAGGGATAAAAGGACATTTTCTAAAAATGAAACCTAGCTAGATCGATTTTTCGCCCCCAAATCTACGCACATACTAAATTTCATGAAAATCTCTGGAGCCGTTTTCGAGATTCCGATTTTATATATATATATATATATATATAATATATATATATATATATATATATATATATATAAATATATACAAGAATTGCTCGTTTAAAGGATAATATGTAATGCGGGCCCACCGTCGGGGGTCCCGCCAGATAATACTACACACAGTTAGTCAACTACAAACACAACGTTCCAGGGCGGTTCTCACCGCCCCCAGCCACCGACTCGAAGTCAGTCAACGGCTATCGGAGTCACGTTCTGCACCGAACTTCGATAGCCCATAAGCAAAACTCTTCAGCTAATACACGCATGAGCACATGCGCGGCCCTACCCACTGAGGAGGGCCTCAAACCCGTGATTCTGGCTAACCCACTGGTTCTGCGTTCGATGAAGCTTTAATAGTCACGGGACTGAAAGCGTTAACATCAGGTAATATAATATAATACTATATATGTAATATCATATATTTAAAAATATGTTAAAGTAAAGTAAAGCCTATACATATTATACAGCTGGACAAAGGCTTCTTTACAGAGGGTATTAGGGTATAGATCACCACGCAATCTCACCGTGGATTTGCGGACTTCACATATCTTCCAAACATTTTTTTATTATTAATTCGAAAATATGCAGAACTCCACGATGTTTAAATACCTTCTCAACTGAGCACATGATAAGTCAACACTTTAAAAAATTGCAATTAAAAATTTAATTGGCTCGTACGGGGAATTGAACAAAAGTCGCTCAAGTATTTTGAATTAAAAGTGAGCGCCCGGACACTGAGCATATGTAAAAGCTATAGTATATACTAGCTTTTCGCATATACTACATTTAATATCGTGCTTAGTGAACTCTTCGTACGCAAGTCCGACTCCCATTTGCCCGTTTTTTTTAAAATTTATGAACCGATTTAAATAAAACTAACACTAAATGTTAAGTGAAGATTGAGAAAAAAAAATTAAACTATTTTAAAAAAGGATTTTGATTTACAAGATAATAAAAACGAAATTTATATAGAACGACATAAGTCGATTTTCATAATACATTAGAGTTGATTTAACTGAATCCGTGAGCGTCACATTTCGTTTCAGAATTTTTCGAAAGTGCTTTGAATTGTTCTAATGAAATTGTTCCATGTTTATTAGTTACCCATACATATTGGAAAAATTTAAATTGATTCTTCGCTTATTATTTACAACATTTGAGGTTAATGCTGAATGTCAAGAGGTAGTTTGGATTACCAAACGGTACCTAAATGATCTTTTTAATGCTTAAAAATACGTCAAGCAAATAAAGATCAAGAGGTAGTTCGATGAAAATCGGGACGGTACCTACACAA